TGTATGAGCGAAATTGCGAAGTTTCTTCAATAGTATTGTCAAATAAATACTTCACGTTTGCTGTGGCGCAATACAAGAACGAACTTCCAACTAAATTCGAACTTAACAGTTAATACAGTCGAGGCAGTTCGCACTCACAAGAATTATGGTTACGTTCTTGCTTGAGACGTGATGATTGTATAACTATTCCGCGCGACTCGTTCAACATAAAATAATGTCACATAACTGTCGCTTAGCCTTCTCTATCATAAACTCTCTAATAAATTCACTGTCAAGATAGCAAAGCTTCTAGTCTTTTATCATTTAACTAATACACTCAAATATTTCATACGGTCAAAACTCAGCTCTACGATCGATAAGTTGTATCGCTGCAAGTTCCTCTTTCCAACTCACATATCGCAACAAGGTCAAGGAAGGTCGACCCAGCAACTTTAGCGACCGATAGTTTGCCAATAGTTCATTCGTTGCCAATAGTTTGGGGCGCAAAGCAGACGTTTGGTTAGCTAGTGGCTTTACACAACAACAACATCCAAAAAAGTCACCACACACTTTGCCGTTAGTATTTTTTAGCTTTTCGACAGTTAAACGTAGAAAAAGCTTCGACGAGTTAGTCTGTATTTTAATTATGACGTGGCTGGAGATGGATATTATGACGCATACATGCTCGCGCCAATGGAAGTTTCTGGAAACTCTGCAGACGTCGATGAATTGGAGATGTAAATTCATTTCATGCGTGGGTTTCGCCGAATTTGTTAGAAATCCACTTATGCCGAGGCAGAGTTACGTTTCGACAAGATTGAAAAATCCAATTGGATAGTTGGCTGTTTGCCAGCCTTCAGAATACAAAAGTTTACGGTCGAAACAACGAAGACATCTTTCATCACAATCCAAACTACGTTGGATATGTGGGTGGAGAGTTACAAAAGGCCGTAGTCCATTCATTAATTCATAACGATCGCGTGAGGCTACAGTGCGAGCTGGTGCGACTGGGTCGCGCGTGCGCGTGTCATGAGTTACAGCCTGTTCGCTTACTTGCACATTGACGAGGTGTGAATGCGGTAACACGAGAAAGATTAGCCCGTTTCTACGCGTTGGTTATACCTGGATAAAGGAGCGTGCATATAAATCTATCTTAATTTACATGGGGAACTATCTGACGGGAAAAACAAGAATGTACATGGTAGGAGTATATAAAGAAAGCCAATCTCTACCGACTCGACTCGGCGAACGCCTAACCTGCGTATTTGTAAACCAATATCATTCTTCGAGCGAGGCAACCGAGTTTAAATCAATTTTGCCATTGCTTTGTGAATGTGCGCACACGTGAAAATAGATACTCAACGTATCTGTTTTCAAGCTTAATTAACCTAAGATCAAATTTGCGTTCTCGTGTTGATTAAGCTGCTATTGCGATTTTTTCATAAAACGACCAATTTATCACTTGCTTTTATGTTTATAACTTGATTTCCTGTTTCACTTGGCTGTGCATAATAGTTTATTGAAAATCAATGCTGCGCGTTTTTCTCGTGTGAAATTATTTTTAAAACAATTTTGAAGACTCTCCCGATATGTTATTTAATGAGAAAAAATTTTTCCTAGATTTTCAAGTTCAGCCGCACAAATTTTCAATTTCTATGCAAAATATTTTCATCCCGAACATAGGCTAATTAATATACCACGGAGCTACAGAAATTATTCCATGGAATTCCCAAGGATGTTATAAAACTTTAATTTTAAATTAAATTCCGAAATGAATTTTCATCGTTAAATCCCTTGAAACTTCTTGTACTTTCATGTAACAAATATTTTGTTCGTCGGCGTGATATTCAATGACCCAAGTGATAAACAAAAATCAACGTCGAGATATCGTTCAATATCAGTATAGTAGAATCTTTGCATCTTGTTCATCAAGTTTGCGCACAAGTCGCCAACTTTCTCGCCCGCATCGATACGATCCGCGACTCTCGTCAGGGAAGAACAACAGTGACGAGAAAGAAGACCGACTCTCGAACGCGATGCAGGAAGCCCCTATCGATCATACGCCAGTGAAAATTTCGGGCGGGCAAGCGAGAGCGCAGGTGCAGAGGCTTGCCGCTGCTTTGCGAGCGGCAGCTCTTTCCTTCCTTCTCGGCTTTTCACTGGAAATTGACGTGTGCGGCGCGTGTTAGTCGTTAGCTAACAAAGCTTGAGCGCGCTTGCCTGCTGGAAGAGACCGGCAGTCGGATAGCTTACTGACGTATGCTACACTGTCGATGTACGCGCGCGCGTCTGAGCTTCGAGAGGATGAATGGTTCGCTCCCTGTTTGCATTATCTTCCCGGCGGATCATTCAATTTGCTTTCTCACATGGAAAAGCTGTGTGTGGATCTTACGTGCTCTTTACTTTTTTTTTCAAATATTTTATGAATGCTTTCGGCGTCATCGAAACTTCAGTATTCTATTTGTCGCAGAACGAAATGCCTGCCAGTAGAAAAGATCGAGTTCGGTCAGACGTAACAGGCAAGTCGTTTATCGATAGTTCGCTACACCAATACCACTTCTTACCGTTATTGTAAAACGAAAATTTGCTTTTCCTACGTTATAACCTCTGTATTCGAAATTTGATCGATCAACTCTGTGGCGAACAACGTTGTGCAATTAACAATTTCGTAAAGTGTGCAAACAACAAAGAAACCGTATAAATTGTACGTACATGAAAGAAGCCATCATAAATAAAGTATAAAAAAGGCAAATGGAAGATAATTCACCTTCTCCTTCTTCTATAAAGTAATATTCTCTTTCCCTCGTTTAACTTATCTTGTAAGAGACACCCTCGCATGTCGTATAATCCGCAACGAACTCTCAGCTTGAGCGTAACTTTTTCATGGTGAACGTAAGACTCTTCGATTTTTCTTTGTTGCTTACGGTTTTCTTGTGACGCACGCAGTGTTTGTTTGATTATGCGAGATATGTGGGACGTCTTTGCGTGAGATTTGCGCAACAAGTGCTGCTGAAATAATGTTTGCGCTTGAGACAAATTATAGCGATGTTTTAGTAATTGTTCATAATTTCTGAGGCAAAAAGCATTGTTATTATTTAATAACCCTTAAGCTTTATATATATATATATATATCCATCAATAACGTAAACTCGAAATTATTCACAAATGATATTCAAATACTATTTTTTAGGTAAATTAATCTTATTGCATTTGTAGTTAATGCAAAATACACACACATACGACACGCGTATCTCTAGATAATGTTATCAAGCACTGCAGCAGAGCGTGCGGTAGCAGTCGAATCCCCTTGACATACATCTGCGGTAGCCTATCAGTGAGTTTTCCATTCGATCCTCATTCCGAAATAGTTCGAGTAACAAGGGCGCGGCTCCTTTACATCTCGGCCCGCAAATGCTCGTCTCTTCCAATATCGACGTGGCTATCCTTAGTTTGCTCTTTCTATTCCAGAGTAGCTTATTCATATGCTCTAAGTTTTATTTTGATATCGATATGATCCCTTAAATGATTCATCTTCTATTTACATTAAATCTCTCATCAAAACTCTAACTTTAGTTGATTTGCAATTAATCTGCTTTGGCTTTCAAAGGATCTAATTTCAAATATAATCAAAGCTTTTACAACTACTAATAGTTATATGTAATAATAAAATTGGTATCAAACTAAATTGAAAACTTGTTTCACAGAGTATCAACAAAGGAAATTATCAATTGAAAAATGTTTGGAAGGCATTTCTCATTGACAGCAAAAATCGATATCTGCTATTAGTTCTTCAATATTAGCATTTTTTCAATAAAAGCCTTTGAAAAGAAATCACGGCTGTATAGATCGAAAGAGAAAGAAGGCTATCGTGGAATTTTTTCATCAAGTGTGAAAACAAGTGGATGTGAATTCATAAAAGCTGATGAAAAGTTAAGCGAAAGTCGTTTGGATAGGAGGTGACATTGCAATAGAGCTTGCTGCACTCTTAGTGAAATAAGTGCGTCATTGTCCCCTGACTTTTTCAAATTTTCGATAGCTCATTACCAAAGTGTTGAATATTGAAACTGCGTCCATGCGTACTGTACTAGCGATTCGCACTAGCCAAATTCTTGTTCGTCAATGGTGAAAGGAAATTTAGGACAGTCGTGTCAGTGAATTGCATAGACGTCGTCTTATACGCTGCAGTCATTGAAAGCGACATTCGATTTGCTCGCTCGAGCAAGCACAGTAATCAACTGCCCCGGGCCAAACGAAATAGCCTTCCGATCGAGATTCTTTTTCGTAGCGGCGCAAGGCTGTGACTTTTAATAACGCAGACAACTGCTGCAGAAGGACGCGTCCGCGTCCTTGCACGCGTGTGCTAGCTCAGTCGTGATATCTCACGAGAGCGAGAGAGTGGCTTGTAAACGGACGCGCGTCTTGCCCTTGAGATGATAACAGCTGTACGTAGGGCAGTGAACGATGACGTTGAGCTGGTTTGCTAGTCGGCTTGGCGCCACGAATTTTCTTTAGCAGCAAGAAGATGGACGGGATACGACGAGTGCGCGTCAATTATCTCGTCGCTATCGTCGAGCGCGACGCTGACGAGCCCAAGCCGTGCAAATATTTTTCATTGTCGTCAACACTCAGCGTCGTTTGTAATAATTACGTCGGACAATGTCGGCTCGAGAGGCAGGTATTCAACATAAAGCTCGTTAAAATTAATCTCCGCGATACTGCTGAAAGTCTGGGCGTGGATAATTGTAACGCAATCGTCCATCCGGGGGGGGGGGGGGGGGGAGGCAGTAATGAAGTCGACACTGTTTCGTATTTTTTCCGATGTCGAGGGTCGACCAAGACAATGAAATATTCAACGGGGCGTAGGTGTCTCTGGCCTCTCGGTGTCCTTCGGGAAAACATGTAGACTCGTAACCTGAAGATGAAACGATAATGACGATGCTCCTTGCCATTTGTCATTGCTCGAAAAACAGCTCACGCTGCGAAAACGTAACAAGCGGCAATGAACGACTTTTCTGTTGCAGCCAAGAGTTTCGGCATGAGGGTCGTGGGCGGTAAAGTTGGCAGCGACAACCGCTTCTACGCTGTGGTCGTGTGGACGGTGTCCGGTGGCCCGGCCGAGAAAGCTGGTCTGCAGAAGGGCGACAAGGTAAACTGCTTCTCGCTCCCGGCCGAGTTTACGACTGTGACTGCCAGCTTTGATACTGCCCTCCCGTTTTTCCTCGCATCCAGGCTACGACCACACGAGTAATATTCTCCCACGCTCCGCAAAACATTCAATTCCTTTTTCGTCTCCGCCAAGCAACGCCAAGGACAACAGTCGACGGAAATAGACGGTTAATCGCCGTGTCCCGATGTACCACAGAGCCCCGTAAAATGCAGCGTGGCAAATAGCTCGTCAAACCCGAGCCGGCCAGCACTCGTCTATGTGCGTAGAGTATAGTGGGGCGGTTTCGATCGGCGTGTGTCGCGCGAAATGAAGATTGAGCGAGAGACGCGCGCGAAACCATCGAAGCTTCATTGTAATTAATTACTGGCGAGTGGGTCTGTATATACATGTATATAAAGCCGAACGAACGATCGTCTATCCACTAAAACAGCGTGTTGCGGTAATTTGGCGGCAGCAGAAGCTCCAAGCTCCCGCCGCAACAGCGAGATCCCGATCAATACGAATTACGCTTGTTTGATGAAGATTGATTTTCTCGCTTTTACTTGACTTTTAAGGCCGATAAGTTCTATTTGTTGGTTGCCCACTAATTGTCTGTTCTTTTCTTTTGTTTTATCGCTATTGGAATGGCAACGCACTCGCAAAACGTGCAGAGGCTACACTCAAAGCTCATCTGCCTCGGCTATTTTTAACTACATTGACCCCTGTCTCCAGAGAGCAAAACAAAAGCTCGGCAACGGTGGCAACTCGAGACTCGAAACCAGACGAGAGAGAGAATAGACGTACGTGGATCAGTCTCGTTTGTTCGTGGACGTGTAATCAGTGTCGACGAGAGAATCATCGTCGCGCGAAGGACGTAAATGGAACGCCGGCACAACTTCCATATTTCAATTCCGTGCCACATCCGCGCGCACACACGTAAATAACGACGGCCGCGTTTCAGATGCGAACAAACGTCCCGAAGCTCTTTCCTAATCCTGAGAGATGATTTCGCCTCTAGACCCCGGCTATTTGTAAGGATTTTCGCGCGCGCGCGTCTTCGTTTATCTGCTGCTGTGCAACTCCCGCTCGCTTTTTAGAATTGTACGCCATTTTTTTTATTGTCACCATTGATTTTTACCTGAGTGTTTCAGATATCTCCAATTTCTTATCATGAAATCTTTTGCTGAAACGTTAGTCCGTGCACTTATATTCGTGAACATTTTTCAATAAAAAGCAATGCTTAACATATACATTATGTCCTGTTTAATACCCCTGTTAAATGACAAGCCGAGTATGATTTCGTATACATTCCAGCTAGCAAATAGAAAACAATTAATAATTGTAACGTGAAACTCGAATAATACTTTCAATAATAGCACAAGTAACAATCCAGTTCACCTCGTCTCTTTTGGGAGGATGCGCGTTACAAATTTTTTTCCACACTGACGTTACAAATTTTCAGTTGGCGGTGTTTCCCTTTTATTTAATTTCAATGTTATTCTTTGAGAAGTAATTAGTGCTGCTCCATTTCTTTGTATGCCTGGACAGGTTTTGGAGTGGGGTGGTGTCTCGCTGATTGACCGCAACTTCGAGGAGGTCGCCCACATTATCGACCGCAGCGGCGACGTTGCCGAGCTCGTTGTCGAGCACGCGAACGACATGTACGTATTTACTTACTCTCGTTTATTTACCTTATAAGAAAAGCCCTACGTTACAGATACGCATTTGGTAATGTCCTAATTAAATTTTTATTCGATATCATTTTACGTCTAGTATTTTTTCTTCGATTATAATTAGTTGAATTCATATAATGGCTTCAAAAATAAAAATATATAGTGAAATTTGAAAACTGCTCTGATTTGAATAGATAATAAAAAAGTGCCAGAATTCTATTTTATCGATTATCTTACAGCGAGGATTTATTTCATCCCCCCGTGCTACATAAAATTCAATCTTCCTCCTAAAATGTACTATTTGAAGTAAATAGATGTACTGGGTCTTCCCTTTTTTCATTCGAACTGTCGTTATTTACGATTATAGCTTTAAAAATCGTACAATACGTAGCTCTCGAAATATTGCACTAAAAATTGTCAACTATATTTATTGTTCACTAATCGTTTCGATTTTATATATATAAAAATCAGTGTCTGTATAGAAAGTCCAGGCAAAATTTTTTTTTTTCCAAAATCTAGAAACTAACGAAATACGGAGAAAAAGCAATCGAATTAAAAACATATCGCTGAAAATTGAGTAAAAATGTATTTCATTGTTCATTTAGGAGCGGGGACTCAATGGACGAGCCGGTCGGTATGACGCCGGCCGAACGCGAGAAGACGCCCAGCAATTTAGGACTCGGACAGCTCGGTAAGTCTCTTTCTCATCGTTTGTCGGGCTAATTTCAGGTGGAAGCTGGGCAGACTGGAGCTTAAGTACAGTTTGCGAGCCAGATGCATGGATTGCTGAAAAGCTCAGCCGAAACGTAAATTACCCGCTCCGGCTTGTTTTAGGTTTTTCTATAATTTTACCGTTAAGTGCTGCTACAAATGTAGCTGTCTTTTTTTAAAGCATATCCATTTTCTAATGTTAAATTCAAATTGTGAATAATTTCAATTATTAATTACTCGCTTGAATTATATCTTCGACTGTTTTCTTCGGTTATCTGAGCTCTCCGTATTATCTTTGACACTGCTGAAAAGAAAACAAAGCACGACCCGGGCTATCTTCTTATTAGCATTGTTTATTGAGTAGTGAAAGCTGCCACACTGAAAGCCATGACTCAAAGAAGACGATCCAATTATTCTTACTTTGCAGAATCGGAATCGAACAAAGCGCCATCGTCGCCGACGCGCAGGAAACTGCCAAAGACGCCGGTATAACGAGTTGATAAAATTGAGCCTACACGTGACCTATTCTACTTTCTCTCTCTATCTCTCTCTATATCTATCTATCTTTCTTTCGCTTTTCTTTTATTTTATTTCGTCTTGAAGCGACGACTTTATTCTCATTCTATTGCTTCTTCTGTTTTTTTCTCTTTCTCTTTTTTTATTCTCTTCCTTGAAACGTCCCTCTATCAAAATCACACGAGATTAATCAACAGATTTAAAAATTTGAAAAAAATCATACACAATAAATAAACACGTAACATTATGTATGAAGAGGAGTGTTAATGATTAAGTACGCGAACAATCACAAAAATGTTTCTAAATGTCGGGCATTGACATGTATTTTGTCTGTGAATGTGTAGTGTCGACTTGTATGATAAAGAGAGAAAAAAATCCTGTACTACTTAGCGCCATGCTTCACTCAGGCATGACTTTTCGTGGATTTTATCTCTCGTAATGTCATGATTCCATGTCAAGACTATTAAGAAGCGAGCCGAAAAAATGTATCACCCTTGACTGCTATGTCAGTAATGAAGCTTGATCGTAACACACACGACAGAGTCTTATTAAATTGTTATCGATCGTAGCCATAAAAGCAGCATCACACGTGTACACGTGAGTTTTTACGACGAGGGTGAAAGCAGTCTTTCATTTTACTCGTTTACACATTTTTCTTGATACTAAAAATACAGATTCGGTCAGCGCTGTTTCAATTTTTTCCATGACTTCCGATAAAGTCCAGATTAAAAAGTAATACCCACAAAAGCTTCGCTCGAATTCACATTTAAGAAAAAAACAAACCTCTTACCTAAACACTGCAAAATGAGCAACAGTTAACGATCCAATATAATGGGCGTTACATTTGGTGAACTGATGTCTTTTAATGTAAATACGAGATATAGTCTTTGCAATCGTATCTTTTCTCAAAATTGATATTTCCAAACTGATACATATCTTTCTTTCCTTGAAGACTACAAAGAGTGCGATTCTAAATATAAATATATATCCGTAAATATAAAAAGTAAAATACATATGTAAAGCTTCTGTAATCCGTTGGCCGTGCGTGAATAAAAAAGCACTCGCCGCGTATTTCCAGCCGTGAAAGAGAGATTTTCAAAACTCAATGTATATTTTTGAATAGCTACAATTATTACCCGTTAAAGTACTTTCCATCTATACTTCCAATCGGTACAAGAGTTTTGCTAAGTAAACACGAATTCCTCAATTATCTTCGATCTGCTTTTATATATCTATATGACGAGCTTGACTATATACAAGTAGATATGCTTTTTACACATTTTTTTTGTATTGAACGCACTCATTCGATCACGCACTCTGCTCTTGCCGCATTTTTTGAAAAATTAATACATAATATTATTGACGCATAATAGCTTGTAGTCATAGTATATAGCTTTTTCGGCATTTTTTGAATTTCTTTTTTCAAGAGAAATAATTACTCAGAAAAATCTCTGCCCCATCTACAACAATTTAAAATTTACTCCACCGGTAAAACATAATTGTCGGTAAAGCAGATCAGCATATCATAGTTTTAAAAATTAAATTTTATTGGTATTTTTAAGTGGTTAACCAAAGTTTTGATTGTATAACATTAACGTTAAAATTTGCAGTACAATGTTTATAACAAAGTTTTATTGATCCTCATTTTTGAAGGTCAAAATCGAATGTCAAAAACGTTGAAATTGCTCTGACGTACATTTCATTCTTGATGTAAAAAAGCTAAGTGGAATCATAATAATTATGCACATTAAATTCATCGGATGGATAATCGATATAAATGCGTCGCTTCGAGAGCGAAACAAAACATGAAAAATAAAGAGCTTTCGTACAATCAATTTTGTAGTGAGCAGCCGCGCGTGAAAGGAGTTTTCTTCTCCGCTGGCGTTAGATATAATTATTATCGACGAGCTTTAAGCGGATAATCTCTTTGCTGAAATACATGAATGCTCAAAAATAAGATATAACAAAGTGAACCATTTAAAGGTGTACATTTTTATAACAATGTAATCGATCAGGTAAAAATCAAAGGGCTACGTCCAATCCAAAACTATATGAAAACAATGTTTACCGGTATAAATATTTATTGTTGACTGATGTTTTTACTTTAAACTAACTTAACTTTACAAACGGGACTCTGAACAATGCTTTGTGTACACAGAATGAACAGTCAAGAGCTTACAATAAACTTATAATTTGTCAAAGAGATATTCATAAACAACGAAAATTATTCAAACTATGATATCTAAATAACTAAACATGACAAATGATCTTTTCAGTCGGTATATCTATAAAAAAAATTATATTATTATTGATTGAAATACACATAATCGTGTGCAGACGAATACGTTTGATACATATGTTTTCCACATTCTATGTAACGGAACTTTGATAATCTTATATGCTATATCACATATCTATTTGATACTTAACGATCTTTATAATAAGAAATGTACATCTTTCCTAATATTGAAAAATAAACTATCGCCGTGAACATGTAATACATATAGTTAAAATGTTACTTGCAGTCATTAATGAGAATCCAAAACTCTCTTCCGTGATGTATGGCTTAGAATTGAAACGGTAAAATATTAAGAATTTTTAGTAATATAGTACTAGGATAAAACAATAGAATTATTTGTATGAGATACTACCTTCATAGAAATTTTGATATTATCATTACGTTTCATTTATCAGTTTCACTTATTTATTTTGAAATATAAAAAGTGTGAAGTACAACAGTAGTGTCAGTTGAGAAGCGAGTTAACGGCAAAATTGTTCTAGTATAATATTTGATGAATTCGATGAAATAAATACATTCATAATTTAACGTGTACATAAAAACATGGATATATGTTGAATTTTATTTGAAACGTTTATACTTTTGAAATAAATTATACAATTAGCACTAAATTTCACAAGCATGCACGACAATACAATAATTGATTGAGAAAATGTATAATTGAAAAATTAGCAAAAGAAAGTTTATTCATCGAACTCATCAAAAATTTAAAAAGATTAAAATTTATCGTATGAGAAATTTATTTTTAAAATGATATTCTTCTTCCGTAGATAGAATTGAAAATGATAGTGTACTGGATAATTATTAAATTATTAAGATATATACTAACTGTTAAATTAATATTAGAGTTTATATGAAAAACAAGAAATAGATGGATGATAGATCATAAGAATTGATTTCTATTTATTTTTTTAACGAGTAATGAAAGACATTCGTTCGGTTAAACGAGTCATGATAATCGCGAAAGAGTGAGCGTTAACGTTGTAAAAGTAAAGTAATGGATAAGCGTGAAGCGGAATATCTAAACATTTTCTCGTGACACCAACTATGTTATGAATATTGAACGTATCTAGAGAAATTAGAACACATACACTCACTATTACACAAAAAAAGTAAAATTAACGAGATAAAGTATGATTATCAAGTGTTATATTAAGAACAACTAAAAGAGATCTAACAGATAATTGTAAAATGAGAATAAATGGAAGAGAACAGTAAAATGTTGCTTTTTCAGTATATATCTCTGAAAAAAAGAAAGAGAAAAAATCTCACCTGCCTGCTCTGATTATATTCATATATTTTTACTCTAGTGCATTTGCATAATGTTTTTTACTAGCACATGCTCATTTTTAATGTTTTGCTAGGCGCAAACGAATACCAAAGAATATCGCACAAAAAGTATAAAGCAGCACGTGATTTATTTTTCTCTCTTTTCTTTTTGCCAAAATTTCTTTTTCCTTCCTCTTCTGTCGCTCTTCTTGCATTTTTCAACAATAATTCATTATCCTTAGCCCTTCTACCTGTTGTCTATTTTTTTACTGTTTACTGTCTTGACAGAGCAGAATGAAAATAATCTGGTCTGACAATGAATTGTTTGGTTAAGTTTTTGTCGGTCCGTTCTTCTTGTTCATGCTAACTGGTACAACTATAGTGTTGACATATGTGAGTGTCTTGGATTGACTCGGACATATTTGTTCAATCGACTATTTTTCACCCTTTGCCTCGCATTGTACATCGGCTGAAAGAAAAGAAATAATAATAACGTCTGATGATTCCGCGGACGTTATTATTTGGTAAAAATCGAACGTGCGTGGACGGCATCTTCTTTATTTTGGTCATCTGTTGTTTCGTATTATACGTCTTGTTTCTGTTGGCGTTTCTCTGCAAAAAAGTGTATCTCTGTGTGTGCCCTGAATAGACAAATACGAGTAAGCCCCATAATGCGCCGACGATTGATCAAAGAGAGAAAGCAAATGTAAGTTGTCATGTAAAACAAACATCATTTCTAGCCTTGACCCTCACGCTATAATAGCTCACTTCCCAACTGGCACGATTACACTTTTAGTCCATACAATGTCTTTGCATATTATGCTCCTCCTATCTATAAATCTGTATTTTATCTTTCCTTTTAGACTTATTTAGACTCATTTAGACTCATTTAGACTCATACACGAATATTAGCCATTTGTTTACAGTGAAAGCACGATAGACGTCTTAGATGACTCGTATTCTTTATAGTCGTCTCCATATTTCTAAAAGAGGACCCATTCATAAAGTAAGAAATAGAAATAGAGCTGAAAAGTAATATGTTTTCCTGCAAGTATAATTTTTACACAAATCCGATATTAGTGAATATTAATAAACCAATTTCGTGCATTTACTGTAGACCTGCAGAATAGGAGGCTTTTTTGTTTGCGTTAATCACACGCGTAGATATAGCATCAAACTCGAATGAAAGGTAATTGTATCTGTGACTGACGGATGACGATTCAATAACTGACGATCAACCATCGTCATACGATATAATTGCACAATAGCACGACTAATTTTGCTAACCAAACGCTAAAGCGAACTGAATGCAATGCGACCTATATCATTTCAAATGCAAACAAACGGTCTTGTCAGTAACGGATACGTTACAAGCAACTGATTCAATTTCATGGAAGTTTTTAATTTCTCTGCTGATAATAGAAATAAATGTGACGTCATATTTTCTATATATACCTAGTCACTTTTCTTTCCCTTTGTTCCTTGCTTACCGCGAGCATGTCGCTTGTATGCAAAACATAAAACATTCGTAGGAGATAGAGGGAAAGGAGAAAAAGAAGAAGATTTGCCGTCTATCTATGTAGTTTTTTATTTCTTTTTGCTTGCCGAGTGCACTGAGAGAGAAAGCAAGAGTTCTTGTTTACAACACCACTAAATTTTCATTGGCCGAATTACCAACGGCTAAAAATTTCATGCTATCCCGCACTGCACTGCGCACATACTATTTTGTTTCTATGAAAATTAGATTATGCAGCGTGAGTTGTTACATTTTTTTAATTAGATACTAGAAGAAAATAATAACTTTTTGAATCATTAGACCACGTGTTTCATCTGTAAATGCCTGAAATGTTCGCTTTCGAGGAATTAAACACTAATGAAAATATTATCGAGCATTCAGAAGTAACAATTATGACAATGAATGGAATAAAGTAAACGACAACTATCCGTGTAAACTGGCGAACGAATACAGCATGGTATAGCATCTCAAATTTCAGCGCCGACAGCGAATTAACATTGTAGGCAGGACAAATGCAAAACTTTTGTACTTCCTCGGCAGAGCGGAGATATTAGTAGAGTAACAATGCAAACTATAGCAGAATAGTGAAGAATGGCGGGGAGAATGAAAGGAAACGAGTTGAGTTGACAGATAGTGGAAGCAAGCGAGATGGAAGGTTTTGTTGTTTTAAAAGCAATTTTTGGATAAAGACGTATAATTTGCGCTTTGGTGAGTTTTTCGAACTAGCTAACTAGACAATTCTTTTCTCTCGTGACTGTGCGAGCGATCGAGAGAACAGTTTTGTTGATTAAAACTTATGAAATGTGTAGACTTCAGCGCGTAAAAGTCGTTCAACAACAACTGAAACTTTAAGCAACAAGAACAAGGGAGAGGAGCCTCAACTTTTCTAGTTTATCGTCATCTTGGAGGGAGCAAACTGCCCCACTCGAAAACGCTGAGCGTTGCTCTTAACGAGGATCAAGTGTTACGCAGTAATAGCACCACAACTTGAAGAAAGTGAATTCAGCGCATAAAAACTCTCTTTGCGCGAACAAAATTGAGTATCACGTACAAGTCACCCAAATTTTATTATTCAAATTTTACGTACAATAGTGCAAAGAGAGGAAAAACTTTTTGGCTAGGAAAAAGCAACCGCGATGAAAGTTCTCGGCCGAAGGACGACTTTTCTAACGCTGTCCCTGATCTGCTGTCGACGTTCATTTTTGATCGGAAATGAATATGGAACAGAGATTTATACAGTTTATTCTGGTGCGCTACCTTTCATCGCTATTAATTCATTCGCAACTGCTAGGGCTTTATGAGCGTGTCAAACACTCCTTTTTTCTTTTATTTTTGCCGAATATGCATGCGTTACGTTTGTACGCAGTCAAGAGCAGGTGTATTTTTATAAATATATGTACTCCAATTTCGTAAAATATTACCAGAATTAAAGCTGAAAGGGAAAACGAAAAATTTCACACACAGAGCAGAAGAGGAAATTTCATGCACGGGATAAGAGAAAAATCACAGTTGAAGCCGGCATCCACGACATATTCACTATAATTATAGGCACCAAAGTGAAAAAAGCCACGCACCATGGAGAGTCAAGAAAAAAAATAACACTTCTGATTTTCTAATACATCGAGCTGTTAAGAAGTTTAACTTGGCGAACGATCCATCAAAACTTTAACCGCCTACGCCTTTAAAAGCTAATTATGCCTTTTTCCTTGACGAGGGTGAACTTTCATAAAGAGCAGCTTTCTCGTGCTCGGCCTAGCGTGCGAGGAAATTTACTTTCTTCCTTTTTCTTTTTCCTACTTTTGCTTTTCAATTTTCACGTCTGGGTATCGCAAAGAGCTTCTGTGTTTAGCCGGACTTTGATCGAGCTTGTATTTTCTTTTTCGCGCGGTTTCTCTTATAATTATGATCGATATTTCACTTTGCTAATTACTTCCTGACTTTATATCTTCATTCAATGGTTACCAAGGAAAAAAATGTGAGAACGGAAAAAGTGAAATTTGCTCCAACGAAAATTTTCTTATCAAGAATCTTTCGTGCAAGTGATCGAGCTCAGACTTTAGTCAGGCAAGATCTTTGTTAATAAATATTTTAAAATCGACGTTTAATAAAGTCACGCTTAAGCCGGCAAAGAGTTAATTAACAAGAAAGTCGATATCCGCTTTCCCGAAATGCAAAAAAATATATAACAAACCAATCCCATCGAAGCGCCCGTGTGGCAAATAAAATGCACAAGAACGTCGAACGCATTCAATTTCAAGCCTTGCGAGTATGAAAGAAAAAAGAATCACTTGTAAAATTGAGATGATTCAATTTAATTTGAAAGGGAGAACTACTAGTTGCGGATAAAAATACTTGTGTGCTCTACGGAAAGCAACATCAAGAGTAGCTGGTGAAGTAATTTTTTTATCGCGATTACAAAACCACTGATAGACGAAAATTCCCAAGCGTACAGTGAGCATTTTTTCTGTGGATACGAGTTCAAGGTAGCATTCGTTTTTTGACTGTAAAACTGGAAACATTGGTGTTTATCAGGTAATCACGAGAGTAACACAATTAATTGCAAAAAATACGCGTCCGACTGCTACGGAAAACAAAAACAAGAGTGGATAACCTTTTTCTGTTATACGAATTTTTACGTTCATTCTTTAGCAACGAACGACTATTACTTTTTCAAGTTATTCAGCAAACGATAAATATCGAGTAAATCTTCTTTGGAAAGCGTAATAAAATTGTTGGTTTAACATTCGATTAAGCGTTTCATCCGTCTTACCTACTAGAAACAACTACAATAAAAAAAAATGAGATGAAAATATAATCTTTAAAAATGTGGTTGAAAATCAAATGAAGTCAACATTGTAGCACTCCATATGGATTAGTATGTAAACAACGATGAATGAAGAAGACTCGCATGCACCGAAAATTCATCTGTTGTACACACGTCAAGATACATTAGAATCCGAAATCATTATATATTGAACAAAAATAGTCAATGAGTGAACGAATCAACCATAAAAAAATTGCAATACGCATAATACGTCAGAGCGAGGGAGATAGAAATAGATAGATAGATAGATAGATAGATAGAGAGAGAGAGAGAGAGAGAGAGAGAGAGAGAGAGAGAAAGGAGCTGAATATGTACAACGGCAAGAGAGTTTTTCTGCCAATCTTGTCATGCTTGCGGGTAATTGGATTCTTGAGGTAATACAATGGGCGTTGAGAGATACAACAACAAGAAGCCAGCATCCACGCGTGTTATAGTGTCGCGAAGGATTTATGGTAGGGGTAGGGAGTGAAATTACGTGCGATCGGTAAACACTGTAATTTTCGATCTCACTTCTACTTTTATCTTTCTCACTATCTCTGTCTCTGTCTCTCTTTTTTTCTATCTCTGTCTCTTTTCTTCTTTTCCTTCTTCTCTGCTTTTCTCTGTCTTCTTCTTCTTCTTCTAATGTTTTACGAGGTTATAAAGAAAGTAGCTGTCCAAATTCAATTTGTCACTTTGATTTAGTCTCAGAAAGTTAGCTTTGGACAGTTACTTTGCGAAATTACCGAGGCGCTTGTGCTTTGACGCATATTTTGCTGATTTGCATGCTGCGTATAGATTTGCTTCACTACGTTCTGTCATTTTTGAGCTTTGAATTTTGGATGCCTCGATGAAGAGAACGAATAATACAAAAGCTTGCAACAAGTATTCTAACAATCTTTCAAAAAGCTATCCTCTAAATTGACTATTAAAAAAATCTCATCAATACTCTTGCATAACTTTACTAAGTGAATCTCCGCATGCAAACAACAGAGAGAATAATCTAGTGCATGAAAAATAATAAAATTAAGCAAGAAAATTCGTTCTTGCAACTCGACATCCTATATGCAATAAATATATAAAAAATTACATGTTATGGTAAAATGTAACTAATCGCTATATATTTTTCGCGATCGAAAAAAATTACGCGAACGCGAACATTTTCAGGAGCAATTAGCAAAAGAGCGTCAGGTGACAGGTAGAGTGCAGATACAGGTGTGGTACGAGGCAGATCGAAAGGAATTGGTGGTATCAGTTCTCGCGGCTGATGATCTTTGCTCACGAGAGGACACTGGTTATGGAAGTCAGCCCGAGGCCTTCGCCAAACTTGACCTCATCTCGCCAAGGTAAGTGTTTACTTTTGAGCTACTCTATATACTCTCTCTTAGAGTAGTAATACCACGTTTACTGAGTGGATTATCCACATTGCTTTGCTGGCGCTGAAAATTTCCTGCAGTTAATTGGCTCAATTTCACGAGATTAATATCCAGGGTTATTCTGAATTTCTAACAATTTACGGACTCGATAAGTTTATGCAAAATGGATTATCATCTTGCAGAAATCTTACAGAGTATTATTTTGAAAATGTTGTTCAATTTTCAATCGTATTATCTAGCAAATGATACTTTATCATACTATCGACCAATCAAGTAGCACACAAATGGCTGTCATTCATGTTGAAAGATGTACGACAAAAAAGGTTCACGCTCTATCGATCCAATCACAATAAAACGATTGACGAACAGTAAACTTCTCCCTATGAATTCTAAACGAACGAAATTCCCAGAAGACCTTTACACATGTATAGCAAAGGCAAACCTCGCCAGCGTGCACACGTCTGCAATATTTGTGTGATTCGTTTGTTTCCATTTTTCAACGTAGTGGCGACGTGACCTCGCTAAAGACGGACGTGGCTGAGCCAACGCACAATCCCATCTGGAATGCCACGCTGAACTTCACGAATGTCGCTGGCGAGCAGCTGATCGACCGTCTGATTGAGGTGACGCTATGGGACTACTGTCCGGATCGCGATAGCGTTTTCTTGGGCGGTTGTTCCATCGAAATGGCCAGTGCTTTCGAAGCTGATCGAGCTGTCTGGTAAGATTATTGAAGTCACATCACGCTCAAATCATGCACTTGAATGTTTTCCATTGGGAGTAGTTTTATTTACAAACTGATCGGAATATTGGCTTAGCATACTTAAAGAGTTTTGGGGATGGGTCGTAGGAAATTGTCGTGTTTCGAGCTTGAACACGCACAGACACATACGATAGCAATTTTGAATAGCTTTGCTCTCTTGTCCGCTTATATTCAGGGATAACCATATTTTTTGGTTTTATCGTGGCTATTACGTACGTACGAGCATCGTACATTCTATATACCGTGTAATATGGCTCGCCCATGAAGTGCGAGATTGATGAAATATATTCGAGAAATCGTTATTTTCTATTTTCACGTGTGAACTTGAAATTATAGCGCATCGTTTCGCAGAAATTCATGTCATACATATAAGTCGCATAGCCGTTACAAATGATTGATCGTTTGGTGTTAAAAACTCAATTATATAGGTATCGCTTGGAAGACCCGCGTGGTTTGCGTTCAGGTCGTTCACCACACTGTTCACCTCGTGGTTCACTATCGATTGAGTTAGCCCAGCGTCTGTTGCGTCGAGCTGACCTTCGCGAACGGAGCTATAGCGAGGATACGCAAAGCGATAGTGGCAGTCCAGAACCTTACTTCTTGCATCCCGATGCTGCTTATTTGTCTGGTTCGAGACGTGGATCCAGTCAGTCTGAGCAGCTCGAGATCGAACCGTATGAACTTAGCAAGGATTATAGCAGATCACTACCTGGTAGCCGGAGGAGTAGCTTTCAAAGTCAGGCTGGTGCTACGGACAGTAAACGTGAGTTTTTTTCATAAATATATTTTGTTTTGATTGTGGTGAAAGAGCTCAAGCTATTCTGAATATAATTCATACATTTGCTTGTAAATGACCTAAAATGAAATGAATAATTCTATCTATAAGGAATCTATTGAATTTCGAGAAAGATATAACTAATTCTAAATAAAATTTCCTCTAAATGAAGATTATTACAACCTAAAGAACACAAATACAATTACGAAGTATTTTTATTTTAAGCGGGTGAACGGTAGAAATACGATTGTTCGATGAACGTTTGACATTTGCGAAATTGCACTGAAATCTGCTGATACAAATGTATTATAAGATTGACGAATGCTTGGGATTGAATAAAAATTGACGACATCGAGAAAACGACGCAGCTCGTGCCGCGCCACGGTAGTTAGGAAGAGGGTAAATTCACTTGGATGCATTACATCCACATTGCGCGCGAGAACGCTCCTGCATTTGACATCGCGTCAAATGCTTTGGGTTTATCGCGTGAATGTCGGCTCTGTATAAATCGACAAAGACGTTTGAGAGAAATCGATGTCAAAGAACTTAGAGACGTGCGATATTGCAGGAGGTAGCATGGGCGAAGCAGATGTGTCGATGGTGCACTATAACCGTGAAAGGCGACGCAGCTCATTCGCACGTCCTAAGCGCGATCAAGAGGAGATACTGGAGACTTTGCGGAGCTTAAAGGCACAGCAACATGGCAAAGGAGAACTGTCGCGGACGATGAGTCTGTCAGGCGAGAAGAGACGACCAAATCGTGAGTATCGTCGACAGCACGCTTTCGATGTTTATGCGGCTGAATGATTAATGAGAACGATCCTAACACCGAAAACCACCCTGCTCTTCTCTTTTTTGTCACCTCACCTATTATAATCGCTAATAATATGGTTTCACGAATGCATAGTGTGCACATTTTTATCTGCAAAATGCCAAAATTCTTGTCTTTCCCTATGTTGCGTGTGCGAGTGTGTGGGTGTGTCCGTATATAAAAAGCATCCTTCGAGCATCGGGCTTACATTTTAATGTTATACATCTTTCTTCTTGTCATCGTTTAAAGATCGTCGGAGTGGTTTTTCTACCTCATGTATCCTTCGTTTTCTACCCTTTTTTTATTATCTCTCTGTCTTTTGTCATTTGTTATGTATCTCATTCTTCGGATATGGCGATGTGAATTTTTCTTGTACTGTCACTTTCCGGAAGTTTTAAGATTGCAATCGCTAATATTTCAAGATTTTATGAATAAGAAACATTTACCTCGTTACTTCCTTTTCTTTTTTAATATTCGTGTCAATTGTCTCAAAAATGTAATTGTCTGCGTGTTTTTTCTTCTCAACATTACTCTTTCACTTTCAGCATCTCCATGTTATTTTCTCTCTTCGTTTTCTTTTCTATATTATACTTCGCTTTCTCTCTTTCTCTCTCTCTCTCTCTCTCTCCCCTATACTTTCCGTTTTTTACCCTCGCAAAATAATATATCACACTCTCACTTTGACCGAGTTAACGGAAGTACGAACCATCACCGGGGGTCGACAACAAGTTTACGCATGATCGGTAAGGTCACGTTTATTTCTTTTACATTTTTCAAAATCTCTCTCCTTTCTCTCTGTCTTTCTTTTTTCATTAATTTTGTGCCGAGAATTCGTGTTCTATTTCATATATTTCCTTCAAAACTGTCTCTCAATATATTTCATTTTTGCTCACTCGGCTTTATCTTTTACTCTTATACTGTCCTTCGCGCCATTTAATTACTTCAAGAGGATCCAATTACTCGGTTATAACGAAGCATTAAATGTAAGATTCGAAATTGAACTTTCAACGATAATCTTTAGTTTATCCTTTGTTCTTTCGTTTCAATTTGAAGTATCACTTTTTTTTTTATTTCAAAATAAATCTTGAAATAATTAATTAAGTCGATAGAAAAAAAAATCCAGTTGAAAATTTTCGAAAAAAATATATATAACTCACAAAATGTGATGGATAGAATAGAAATACAGCGACAATATAAGCTCGTAAATAACGACTCCCCCGATTTCTTAATCACCCTGAGTATTGGGAATGACTTTTGATTTCTCCTTTTTCTCTCTGTATCATTATCATCAGCTCTTTCTATACATGTTTAGAACATTCCGTTTAATCATCCACATAATTCACAGTGTCGTTGCGATCAATGTTTCACATCATTTCCTCAACTATCATATACATGACGCACGTTTCGTGCGTGATATGGAAATAAAAAAAAGAACAATACGGTGACCCGATTCAGTTGTTTACACACGTACGTACATGCAAATATACATACACAAACACTTTGCAACTTGCCATTTTGCCAATCAAGGAAAATTGTGTTATTCATTCTCGGTGCATCTCCAACACGGGGAGCAGGGAGAATCCCCCTTCATTATAGAGACTTGATCAATTTGGTCCAAAGTTTTCGCTGAAAGAAAAGTGTTATCGAAAACAATATTTCTAATGAAATTATTAACTTAACTACAGTTTTGTATGAGTAAGGTCTAATAAAATGTTACAAATTTTCTATCAACTATCTATTTTCTTTCAGCGTCCATCATACAAAAATACAGATACACATCTTGGCTTATAACTGTTTGACTGTTGATCTATGAGCACTTGTACCATGTAACATGCATACATGTTGACATCAAATTGACAATCAGATATGTCATATTGTCATTTGTGAGTATGGAACGCAGCTTCCAGATTTGTCTTAATATTATGGAAAGCCTTTTTCATAATGCAACGCTCCTACTGCTTTATAATACTCAATGTCAACTGCATTTGAACAGTTAGAATGTTTTTATAACTGTAGTTTTTTATCATCGAATTCGCCGTTGCAGTGACTTTCTTGGTTTATTTACTCAAAACGAATATTGTCATACAATTTGTATTTGTTTCAAATTGTTCAACAAGACCAATGTTTTAATATATTTTTGGTTTAACTGCTAATTGAACGGTGAAACGTTTATTACGTGACTGTCTATGTCAGCAATGTTATCATACTACAGCTGGAAGGGTACATTTTTTATTATGACATTGATTTTGTGCTTGCCTTGAACTAAAAACATCCCCGTATAATTGCAAAAAATATTTTGTATTATTACATTCAATTGATATTCAAATCATTGCTTATTCAATGAATATATTGGAATTAATATTTTTCTCAATATTGACATAAAATTAAATATTAAACTCAACAAAATTATTAGTGCGTAAGAACCTTCGGAGACGGACAATGGACAGTGTTTACATGGATGAAATAAAGTGTTTTGAATTTCCTCTACTAGTAAAAATCAACGTCATACAGGAAAATTTACCAAATTTTTGGCCTGCAAATATGATGTACATCATGTTTTGGTCGCTTTTTCTTCAAATAACCAAACGCAGTTGGAAATAATAGAAACTGAGAATCTCCTTTTGCGAGTTATCGTGGAATTTGAATACAGTTTGAAAATAGAATCCTAAAATACAGTTTTTTTTATAAATTTTTTCTAAATATTTGGTCATTTGTATTAAAAATAAATATATCGAATTTAAAGCAACTAGTACAAACAAAAGTACTGAGGAAAGGATAGGTTTCTTCATTCATTTTTTTTATTTGAAAATCGAAAGAATGGATTTCATTTATATAAATTTTCGGTAAGCTTCTTTATAGTTCAAGAAAAAGTACAAGATATTTTAACGAATAATTAGCAGTGGAAAGACATCTTAATTTAAATAAATTTATGAAATTGATCGATAAAATTACATAGATAAAGTTAGTTGTACATATAGCTTTTGTTACCACGGTAATTCATCAAAAAATATCAATTTATTTAAAAAATTGAAAAATTTTTTAATTTGAGTAATAATATATGATAACATGAATAAATACGAAGCACGCCTGTCATTTGTGTTAGTTATTAAAAGTCAACTATAATTTCCAACTGCGCGGTTCGCAACAAATCGTTTGCATTTGCCAGCTGTTTTCTTGGAGTTCTTTCCGTCTTCGCTGTGTTTTTGTCTCACGCTGCAAAGATTTGGGATATAAAAACTGTCTTTCAAAATCAGAATCAAAACTCACACATACACGCAAGACAATACGAGCAGCATACATCCATACAGATTGTGTTTATCTGTCGCTATCGTCCTTCCACCCATAGTCAGTCAACAAGAAGAAAAATTGTTCATCTCGATTGTTTATTTTCTGATTTTCCATCCTGCGTCGTCCACTCTCATCTACGCAATGATTGCGTCTCGAAAATTCCACTAAATCAAAACCAAAAATGTGTGCGCGTGTGTGTATCGCGACGCTCGCTCGCCCGAAACCGCGAACGTCCACTGCCACAACAATCACCGAGCGCCCTCCAACCATGTGTGTGAAAAAGGATAACAATTCACCGTCCCCGCTGATGGATATATTCGCTGCTGACGATATTCGAATCCCACAAAATACCAAACAAAACGTCACAAAAAATAAACTATTTGAAAACAAAAAAAAAAAAAACGAAAAACGTCGGCAGAGTGCGTAGTCCCAACAGTTACTGTATGGCAGTGCGAGCCTGTGTCTCCGAGGACCGCTAAATCGGCCTCCTTCCCTACACCGCACGCCACACCACCCCGATAGATTACACTGGCAAGCCACTTGCGAACGACGCTATGGGCATCTGGTAAGATTTTCTTTCTCTCTCGCTAGCTACTATTTATTATTTTCTATGCACTATAGCGCTTCTTTTCTACTTTATTTTCAAGTCTACGTCTTTGATTTCATACTATTCCTTGGTTTCTTTTATAATATATGGTGCAATGCGTAGTTTCCTATCTGTCAAGTCAATACTATCTAGTCATTAGTAAATTTATTATTTTTATACTAACTGTCGGCCGTTAGTTTGAAATAAAAGTGGAATCAGTTGTTGTCACACGCTGCAGTATTGGTGTTTAGATTTTTGTGTATTTGTGTGGAAATCACATATATTGTACGAAATAATGAAAGCTATTAACTGAAAACTCATAGAGCAAAGTTAACATGGTATGTGTGTATATTGACGTGGAATATTTGTATAGTTCAATTTACATTTTCACATTGAATTTTCAACAGTTTATCGTTGTTTTTCTTCTCCAAATCTTTATGTTTTGATGTTTTGTTAATGTTCAAGTTTAGTACCATGAGTTATAGTTTATATATTGAATATATATATTGAACTAGATTAGAATTTTCGTGGAAAAATTAGGATAGTTTTTTATCATAAACTACGCATTGTTTCCATATGTTTTCTTTAAGTTTCAATATTGGCTGTTTCAATTCAAGGTAAGGCTCTATAATAAAATATCAACTGAAATTCTAGCTTATTACATCTTTTCAATTATGTTTTCGATATTCATACCAAGATTCTAGATAAAATATTCTAGCTTTCGAAAATTAAAAGATAGAGTCTTATATTGCTCTTAAAATTTTCTATCTCGAACTGTTTTTTTTTTCTATTTCTTTTGCTTCTCACATTTATCTTTCAATTGCTATAATGGAGATGATTTTTTTATATCTATTTATTTCTTATATTTTTTATATTGAATTTATTCTATGAATGTTGTAATTATAATTTTTTATTTATAAACTTGTGGTTCTATTGCTTTCACTAAATGTATATTCTAGTTAATAATAACAGTAAAGTATAAGTAAACTGTAAAAATGTAAAAAGAATGAAGTGTAGCGCAATGATAGCTAAATTTTTTTTTGACGAAACAAAGTCAAAATATAGCGTGTAAAAGCAATATATTTATCTCTAGAGCTTTGGTCTAATTTTTGGTTGACTAAATTTGTATTTTTTCTCTCTTTATTAAAACTTCTTTAAAATTTTTCACGCATAATTTTGTTTATATTTCACAATAATTAACCTCATCGACGAATTCGCTTTCAAAATAACTCTGCTGATTAACGATTAGCGTGCGTATAATATACGTACATCAACAACTGACATTGATACTATATGCTCAATGACTCTCCTTTTCGCTCTATCTTCTCAACTGACGTTATAAACGTATACAGATGCTGCGAGGTTCCGCGAGAATCGTCGAACCAATTTTCTATAAAGTCGAGAGAAGGAGAGAGAGAGAAAACAAGTGAAACTTTTTTCATTAGCGTCAATAGATTTTTCGACGTCTGCCAAATATTTTACCTTGCAATCGATTGGTAAATAACTTCTTTCCAGTAACATGCTAATTAATGAGGTACTCGTGGAAAAAGAAAAGTCGGTTATCGATTTTCTGGTTGGACGATTACGTTAGAGATTCGAGAAACTTAGCTGGATATATTTTTCTCACTCTCCTCCTCTTTTTAGGTCTTGAAATTCCTTCTTTTTTTAACTACTAAAAAGTAGCTCCGTAGTATTTGACATGCCGGGCGAACGCATATTTTTCTCACATAGTTCCTTCCTTTTTTTTCCTAACTGCGTTTCTGCTATATACGCATAAAATATACAAGTTATCGCGCAAGAGCCAGCACGACTTTTCAGAGGAAAAAGACAAGAACCTCACTCACGCGACTTTTAACTTTTAACTAACTCCGTTACTCTTCCACAGCTAGTATATTTTAGACTTTTCTTCGTTTCTCTCTCCCTCTCTTTCTCTCTCTTCGTCTGTATTATACCGGAAATATACGATGAGGGTTACTGTACAAATGTTTATATTTCAAATACTAGTTAGTCGTTTAGTTCTATCTCTTTTTATATTAATTCTCGTTTATAGATGTTGATTTAACACAATTTTTATCTGTTAATCATCCAAGTATTGATGTTGATGTTTGAAGTGGATTTTTCTCTTATGAATACGAGTTTTTCAACTTTTTATTGATGTTCCGAGCTGACTTGAAATCTGACACGACGATTCTCCGTTTACTCATTGACTTATCTTTTTCTTTTACGGAAGATAAATTTTCTATCAGATATAATTCATCACGAGGTAAGGAGACTCCAAAATTCATATAAAGTAGAGCACAGATTTCCATATGATCTTGATGTTCCATATTATGTTAGATTTAGTCGCTATAAAACCAATCGATAAATGCTTTGTAATTTGTAATTTTGCAACTCTAGAAGTAGATATAGAATTGAGTAGACGAACGTAGCTTTTTTAATTAAATTATATATCATTACCTGTAATTTTTTCTGCTTTCTCCGAAGCTTGTAAAAATTGTGTTAAATTTAACAAAACAGGAAAAAATAAAACATCGTCTTTTTTGTAAATGTGGGTGGATCTCGTGGGATGTAAGTGCTCATTTTTACGATGTGCAAGAACATATTTGCACGCTGTGAAAAAATAACGAAGTCCGTCGACTTCATCCCATATACTTACTTGACTGTAACTTTGCGGAACAGAAAAACGAATTTTGATGTCGACAGAATTAACTTCTCTCTTATCTCACCTTTTCTTATTTTCCTCAAAGAAATATTTTACCAAGATTATGAAAGTTGTGGTTGTTGAGAGAAAAATCTATAAATTATGTAAAATCATGTTTATATTATGAGATTATTACAGAGCTATTATGACAAAATTTTTAATATTCATTTTATTTAAGAAGATGTTCTTTAAAACTTAATAATGATTAATTTTTCTATTAATCTGACTCATACGATACAAAATGTTATAATTTTTAATAATCAAAATTTTGTATAATAACAGTTTATGCGCCATTCTTTGTAAAATACATACGTAGCTAATATTATGGAATATTTTTTAAAATTTAACAGGTTTAATGTAACAGTTTTGATAAGTGTTATTATTTAGTTTATCTACCGATCTACGGATATAAGCTCTTTCTCTCAAAATATTTGAAATAAAATTCTGTTTTGAAAATATGCTATGATAATCAGCATATTTTATAAAGTCATATTGACAGATAATAGGTATATTTAATCAACGGTAATGTCAATCAAACCCTCTGTGTGCTTTTTTTCAATAGCATTAAAGTTTCTACTTATAGGAGATACAACGAAAAATCTGACTTCAAACGCTTGTAGATCTTTGCTGTCATCACGAGCTTTACAAATTGTGTATAGCCTATCATAGAAAGCTCTATTTACTCTGTCGTAGAAAGCTTTTTTGAGTACTTCAATATTACAATTTTCAATGTGTAAGAAATAATACATTACGAAAACGATGTTTCAATAACCGTTATAGATAATGAGAAAAGAATGACAAAAGAAAGCAAACTGATAATGTAATAATATTCTAAATTTTAAGAGAGAAAAGTCTATTAAGCAGCATTAATTGGAACTTAACTCAACGTAATTAAATCACAGGGCAGGGTGAGCGCAGAGAGAGCAGCGTCTTGGAAATGAAGAGGCACGATTACGATCGAAACAGTGACTCGGACGACGCGGAGAAATGGAGGTAAATTAATAAAATACATTTTATTCTGTCTTTTAATGGATCTTCCCCCCTCTCTCTCTCTATTGTACGGCGCCATTACTGATGGTATTAACAATACGAATTGTATTACAGTCAGTCGATGATGGCAGAAGATGGCTTGGAATTGAAACTTGGACCTGGACAGCTTGCGCCGAAGGGTTACAAACCACCAAAAGGTAATGAAGTCAAAAGATAAATTGACTTTCATTAAATTAATAACTTTCTTCTATTAATATTCATCGGTTTGAATTCGATTTTTTAGATCAAAACGGTAAAGTTCAGCTAACGATTTATCTAAGTAAAGGCAATCTGGAAGTGGAAGTGATTTCAGCTAAAGATATCTGTTCACTTGAAACTGAAGAACCAGGTAAGAAAAGTGTATTTATTAACTTGTTGTATATTATAATTGAGATACATGCAAAACTCTCGGCGACGTTCCATAACACAAAGTTTCGAGGTTAACGTGCTGTTATAGTTCGTGGCCCCTTGACATAGCCATGCGTAACACACCTCAATTAATCTTGTGGAGAGCTAACACGTATCACGGAAATATCTTGATTGCTTTAGTAATCCGTTTCACTCCAGTCTGCGTTAAAGCTACTTGAATAAGTTTTCCGTGGCCTCCTTCGTAAGTGCCTAGTTTCGATCATCCAGAGATTGTTATCAAAATATTCTTTACCGTATGTTCTAAATTATGTATTATTTTATTTCGAATTACAAAATTATAGTTACATATTTAAACAAATTTTTGTTGATTTTTATCAAAAAATACACTTTTCCTACCATCATGCGCAAAGTTCGATTTTACGCACGCACATACGTTCGTAAAATCGAACTTTGCGCAGCTTAGTAGGAAAAATAGTATACGCAACTTGTGCGCAAATAAGGTGATAGCGCACGCGCATTAAACTCACGCGTGCGGGAATCACCTATTTTGCGCACTCGTTGCATAATGTACTATTTTCCAAATTTTATCATTAAATTTAGTGATATAATTGTCCAGAGATACTGCAATATAAAAACTTGACTTTTATGCTTTCGAGCTAAAAAATGAAATGGTTTATCTAACGAAAATTTGGTTAAAAATGATACATATCCTTTAGATTGATTGACATGTTTTTTCAGCAAAAAAAATTTCATAATGTGAACAGGTTATTTTCTTTAATAAAAGATATATTTGGTTCATATAAAAATTACCATTTTCATTACATTGAGGACAAATAATGTTCATTTTTTACTTATATAGTTTCTGGTGACAGAAGTAGGATACACTTTATTATATTAGCATAATGAAGTTAATCTTGTAATAATAATTTAATTGGAAATCCTTTTAACATCTAAGTTTTTTAATGAAACATCATAATCCTAAATTTATTGAATGTTAACAACCAAATCATTAGAATGAGGAAAAATATTAAACCAGTATTAAACGAATTTTTCATGATTTTTATCTAATAGAAAAATGTATTTCAGACACGTACATAAAAATGTACCTGCGAGGTGAAGATCGTTGGCTGCATAAACGCAAGACCCGGGTAGTGCGTCATTCACGCAATCCTCAATTCCGTCAGACACTGAAGTATCCAAGCTGCGACGCATTAGGTCGCAACCTTCTAGTAATGCTGTGGGAAAAGAAGCAGGGTTTCGAGAGTAATCAAGGTTTAGGTGGTGCAGAAATACAATTGGATGCGTTAGCCTTGACCCGTTTGACCATCGGTTGGTACCATTTATTTCCAATTCATACGCTTGGCACTCAGAACGCTGACTCACCATGATGGTTGCGGGAAAAATGGGCACTCGAAGCCGGTGAGCTCGATCTTCGCTTGAGTTTACTGCTCAAGGAGGAGAACGAAACCGGTGTGAAAATAGTCTCGTGATAGAATCACTTCGATCATAAAAAATACTCGTTTACAGCGAGGTTTCCCTTGATAACAATAATGCGTTAATAATCTTGAGGGACGTCAGAGCAAAGAATGTTATATCCATACAAGACAATCAAAGTATTATAAGCTTGATCGGAGCTACACTACGGGACAATCAATTATTTAAACATATTCTGATTCCATATATGGAAATTATTGTATTTGCTTCATTTGCGGTGTCTATAATTGGTAAAGATATAAATTTTACTTCGCTTACGTACCTCGAGGATAAGTCGCTTGGTTTGTGTTTTCTTATTTTTCAGAAAGAAATCCTTGTATCGCCATCTCCAATGCTCGAGCAATATTTTGAACAAGTAGTTTCTAGAAGCCATAGCTTAGTATTTTCATCGCAAAACAAAAAAAAAATAAGAAGAGCAAGGGAAACCTCGGGTTTATTTTTCTATATATTGCTAACGAGTAAATAATTAATTCACGAGATTATAATTATGCCCATTTTTCCCGAGACAAGTAATCGATGCATACAACTTAAAACAGCGATTTCGATGTGAAATATAAAACGAAGCAAGAACTGCAACGAGAATAATGATGAACAATATCAAATGGACGAAACAGATTTTATTTTTGGCGCAACAATCTGCGACGGCTCAATTGACATCTAGATTGTGATTTCATTTTGCTGGTTGATCCAGCACGAGGATTCGATTGAGTCTCGCGTGAGCGCTATTCTATCATTTGTGCTGCCGTCTTTCGAGTAAAATGCTAACTTATCGGGGTGTTGAGATTTTGGTTGGTCAGAGCGAAAGGTTTTTGCTCACAATCAAGAAATATATAACCAAAGATGATTTTATCTAATGAATAAACAGATACATGGAAATACATATTTCTTTTGAATATGTCATTTTAACTTAGTATTTTAATGATACTGTAAAACAAATTTTTTATTTTGAAAATTTTATATTATACTGATTGTAGTATCGAACATCTAATTATTTCGATGTGTCGTAAATATACGAGCAAAACTCTTTGTTCCTGCAACGATCTCACATTGTAGAATAGATCATGTACCTAGAAATAAAAACAGGTGACGTCCTTGGTGCTTGCTGGTCGAGAACCTCGTTACAAGGACAAGATTTAGATTATCACTAAACTCGATGGCCAATTTAAGTACTAGATTTTAAAGAATCATACCACAAAAAGAAAATTGATGTTTAGAAATCACATCATTATTTTTTAGCCCATAGATTAAAGCGCGAGCTCTTCAAAGATCTTTATCATGTTAGATTTTTGTCGAAATAATACATGTAAAATTGGTAATAAACAACAAAATACCAACCGACCTAAACATTCTTAGATAACAATTCCGCATTTACCCTGCCTAAAGACGACAAAACGAAAAAAAAACTATAAAGCGTGCCAGTGGTTTGTTAGGATTTGAAAAGATTTAAGCGATGATAAATAATTAATTATATTATAACTGCTTGTTGGTAATCCAAAAATGTATAACTTCTTTTGTATAATGTAAGATTGCGTAAGTTGAATTGTAAATGTATATTTATGAAAAAAAAGAAACTTTCCATAAAAAATTGTATAAACTAAGAACATCAAAAAATATCTAAAATAATTTGTTTTAATAGTGCTTGCGGATATAATATTATCGATAATCAGCAAAAAGGATAATCATTAATCATAAATGGATATTTCTAAAAGAAAAGTAAAAAGATGTAAGAAAAGAAGATAATCAAAGTACTGCTAATCTATTATTGATTCCTATTGATATAGCCGAAAAACTTCGAGGAAATGATTCGTAAAGTAAATTTTTCGAAAGTAAAACGACGCTTTGATTATGCTGATATTTAACGGTGAAAAAGTATACGTTAGGGAAACTGCTATTATACATAATTTTATTACTAATTATAAGATTGGCTAAAACAAAGTAAAAAAGAAACTCTTCATGTTGAACATATGTTAGCACAGCAGTTGAATGAGTAATGTTCTTAAACTTTGTTTAATAAACAGCTTTTGTAATCAAATTCATTTGTACGCAAGTTTTTCTGATATTGTACAGTTCGTTGGTATAAAATGTTTTTCCATGTTTGCAAACGAATGAAAAAAAATGAAGGTTTTTCAATAATAATTGTGTAAACACCAGTTTATTGGCTAAAATTGAAGATTTAAAAAATAAGCACAAGAAAGATGAATATCGCGTTACGGCCTAGAAAGGAAAACGAAGATTAAGTAAATTTATAAACATATATATATATATAAATATATATATATATATGAAGACTCGATGAAAGCGAAGAAAAATCGTTCTTCCTCCTTATATATTCATTCTTATAGAGGTAAACAAAAAATTGCGCCTTTTTCTACTAGAATCTATGAGATTGTAATAAACTTTACACAGTCTATTATATATTTACGCATCATCGTGTTCCACCTTTTGAGCCTAAACTGAGTAAAACATATATACTTATATAATTAGATGGTTATGTAAAGAAAATTTTCAGAAATTTTCTTCCAAGAACATAGCAAATTTTCATTCTTGTATATTAATGTATATTAATCTATAAAACACCTACATTTTATTTACACTTTCGATTTCGGCTATTTTTTCAATAAAATCATCATTACAAAAAGATCATAGAAAAAGGATTTTACGAACAATAAGTAACTTCTAAAAATGTCTAACTCTAAGTAACTCTTTACATCTATCTAAAAGTTTAATTAAGAAGTGGCATTTAAAAAAAAGACATTGTAAATCGTTCGAAGCTCATTAAAGTTGAAACGGTTGTGACGGAGAAGTTAATTACTATATTAAAAGAAACGTAAGTAAATATAGAGCACTTTCTTCAACTTTTCTAGATAAAACTCAAAGTTTTCTACACAAAATAACTCATGGCCTACACAATACAACACTTAATAATGAACGTTGACTTTTCCATTACTGTTAAAACGATACAAAATATAAGTATAAAATGGCCGCAGTTACGACAAGATAACAATAACAATGGGTCTATCGCTATTATTATAAAGTTATAATGTACCCACTTTGACAATCTTGACGCGTCTCATATAAATGTTATTCACTTCTTACGTGAATTAATAAGGTCAAGTGAAAGTCGCTGCCTATGGAAAGTTTGATTATTCCAAGCAGAATTTATGTGAATCCTAAAATTTCATTTTGGAATGATATAAGTTACTATTTAAAAAATGATTATCTGAATTCTTATCTATAAATGGCCCCCTTTCCAAAAAACTATTTGATTGAATATATCACGCATAGATGTCTAGAGATACTGTAACGTAAAAACTTTATTTTTCTATTTATTTAAAATAGATATTAAAATAGCTATTTTTCATAAAAACTCAAACATGAGACTTATTGAATAATCAATTGTGTAATCCGCAAATACATTAAATAATGTTTGTTTAATTTCTTAATTGTCAAAATAAAATTTACAAGTCTTTTTTATACAACTAAAGATACTGATTTTTGAAAAAATATACATTAAGTTTGAAATTTAGCTGAATTTTGTGATTTCATATTACATTTGCGAATATGCATAGATCTGTTTTAAATAAGTTAAGATTTTTGTCGAATGAAGTATATTCAGATGAAAACATAGAATTAAAAGTGAGGAAATAATGTACGTTTATGTATGCTAATCTGTTGTAAAATTTATGATATATTGTATGAATGTTGATAAGCAGATAAAATAAGATATTTTGTGGATGGATAATGAACGCATAGTTTTACAAGCGTAATTAAACGCTACATCTAAGCAACAGTCTCTTCCCTAACATATCTGTGTCATGAAAACAAAAAATACACGTATCCATATTGAATATTTTTATTTTAAGTGTCAACAACTCCTTAGTTTGAGCATCAAGAGTATACACATGTTCTTAACTGTACAAATCAGTTTATTAAAATAGCATCTAAAATGAATATACGTAAAACTGTTTTTATGTATATATCGCTTTTGACGATATTAATAATATATTTTTATAACTCTGACGAGATAAACAAATGTGCACATTGAAAAAAAATGATACCGATGCTCGAATTAGGGACGTGAGCTCTGATTATATAATCATGTTAAAGCAGAGCATATCGCCTAGCATTGTATAGCGAGAATCTTAGAAAATATAGTAACAATGAAAAATCATACAAGCTTTATCGCCGTTAAATGAAAAAAGAACATTGAGAAAAACAATAAAAAACGAATATGAGAATAGAGTTGAATGTGACTTAAAATACTTTATAGATCAAAAGAAAGTTCAAAGTTATAAGAGTCGCTAGTTCAGCTGGAACGTAATTAATTTGCTCGCAAAACTTTCATAGCATACGTGACAAGTCAAAGCGACAACAGACCTAACGTGAAAAAAGGTCAAGCCGAACAATAATCATTCGGGACCTAACATTATACGTTAAATGGCAGAACACCAGTAAGCGCTAAAAGAACTTTGTTTTTCGTTAGCATGTAGGCGCGTAATGTTTTCTACTTAAATAATTAAAACTTTTCCGAAATTCAGTGTTATCGTTTAGTTTGATTTCCACGCACTTGGTCTAATCCATTTGAACAAGCGTAGTTATGTTCTAAAATGATACAGTTGGCAGTTTGTGCTGAGTTCAGCAAAAACTGTTTGATAAAAACTTCGAGTTGTGGCTTTTTAGATAGGATAATTAAGTAGTCATATTATCTATGAAAGGCTATCTAGGAAATATTATTTTTATAGAACCCATTAACGTGACAACGATGATAATACGTATTGAGTTTTTACTTTATAAACTAACTTAATTTTTATGTTTTTTAATTTTTTATGAAATAAAGGTCTTTAATGTTAGAATAGTATAATTACGCGATATTTTAGCGAATTGCCAATCGAGTAATCGCATGAAAATCGCGGTGGGAAAAGAAGCCCTTAATATATATAAGAAAAAATTAATAATATTTAAACGTACGAGTCGTCATGTTAAAATCAATGTGATGTCTTTACCTAGATGTTGAATGTTGAACGTATGCGTAAAAACAAACAACAAAATACTTTATCATTGATATTATATGTTATCAATTGAAGAAAAAAACTTATGATATGAATATAATGATAATTTCTTATTAGATTTTTGTAACTTGGAGTTTCATTTTAAGTAGATGTCAAAGCGATGTAAAATATTCAAAAAAGGTAACGAAATTCAAATTTTTCAGTAGGTTGCTGATCAAAATAATTCATGCTGTTTATTGAAAACATGTTTTTCTCGTCTTATTAGCTAAATTTTGAGCTTGTTAGATATTGTAAAATATTATATTATGTATCGAATATTTTACGTTAGTATAGGTATAATTGTCATATATTGATACGCTTCAATAAAAAAAAAGAGAAAACTAATTTTTTTTATGCATGTAACAGATTGCGCATAAGCGATAAAGACAGACGAAAAAAGTGTGAAAGCAATTTTTCTACATGTATTCAAGTTCAAAGGTACTCAATATTTTTTATTTAATTTTAAAAAATTATAAATCTATATAAAAATTACATAATTTATTTTTGATTGTGAATAATATTTTGAATATTGTGCAAATGACAGAAAATAATTTTAATTCTATAATAATTAATATTAAAAATCATCGATTATGAAACGGCCTGATTCTTGCGTGAATGAACTATTTTGTAGAATAAATGTATAATTTCATGCTCAACGGTGTAACAGAATATGAGAGATAAATGAGTTAATGTAAAGTTATGAATGAAATTAATGCTGTATAAAACAACGATTGTAAAGCAAATACAATCTCGACGTTGGTCGAATAGAACAAATGTATTTTTCATTTTCAAAGTTAATATTCATAACAAACTTACCATTTGCACCTCCTATTGTAGTGATTACTTTTCTTTATTCGACGAGCACGACTATGATATGCACAAGGAATTTTCTTTAAATATAATTTGTTTTTACTTTATTTTAATTATATTTATTGACATTTAATAGATTAATTCGTTACTCGTAGTTGGTACGATGGATGATCACACCCCGTTGAAATTATATATCTCGAAGGATTCATGATTTTATTATAGTTAGTGACCTTACCAACAGTCAGTTTATAATTTTTTTAAATATTTATGCAAATTGTATTCAACCAGTTTTTACAATTCTGCTCTAATTCGTGTATTATAATGAGAAAAAATATATTTTCATGTTATATTGTAAAATACAGCGATAAAGAAGGTATCTGTTTTACCGTACTAACTCGACTACCCCAGAGAAGTTCTAAAATAAGTAACCAGAGGGCTATCAATTTCATTTTAAACTGATCATTGTCGAGTTTCCGCGGAGTTTTATACAAGCAATGAATTTATAAGGCCAACGTAATATTTCTTTTTACTTTCGTAATAACATTTTTTTTAACAAATTGTAATTTTTATAGTCATCATCGACGATGCGTTGAAACTCTATTAACCATTAGATTAACCAAAGATTAACAATCATACTGTAAAAAGACAAATTGTTTTGAAACATTCTCCAGAGGTGATCTGTCACTAAACTGATTCGAATATCTACAATACCAAGGATCAGAGTCTGGTGCTAATATCTATTGTCGTACCAAAGAATGGCAGTTCACGTTATTAACTGCTAAAAGAAAAAATCCAAACAAGATGAATATCCTTGTAAAAACTGGCTAAAATATAAATTTTGAGGACATCGATAAATTGACTTCACTAGATTTAGCTTTGCTTGAGAGTTCTGCAGAAGTAGTCAAACGTCTAATTAAATTACCCAGATGCGATCCTGCAGTTTACGCCTTTGCATGTAGCCGTGTATCAACAACGCAACGATATAGTCGAATTGTTGATCGACGGAGGAGATGACGTGAACAGTTTAGGTGTGGATGGCTCAACTTCTTTACATTTGTCATCGGTGTTGGGTATATAAACTATAAATACAAAAGTACTCAGCTATCACCTTTACATTTAGCATCGACGAACGGCCATAATGAAGCTGTCAACGACCTCAAAAATCTGTCAAACACTGATGAACGCCGTAAGTCGTGTATCACGGAAACGATGACGCATTGTTTGATATCGATGGACGGTCATGAGGCCGTCGTTGACGTACCGATAAGAAATAGCGCCGACTTGCAAGCTAGAGATAATTCCGACAAGACGCCACGGTAAACCCATGTATTTAAATTTAAACGTTTAATATGACGTCATCCATAAGAAATACATTGTCCTCAATTTTAAACACTTCTAAACGTTTAACTTCAGCGACAATGTATTTCTAATGGGTGACATCACAATTACATACTTAAAACATTTAAATTTAAACACATAGGATTTTAAGGTTTTGCTGTGGACAGCTTTGCACTTGCGACTCGTTATCGAAGCAATGTATTTGAAATTCTTCTGAAGGCCGGTGCTGACATCGATGCTACGGATAAGGACGAGTGTATGCCGTTGCACAAAGCGATTAAAAATAAAAAAAACCGAAGGTTTGGCTTTGCTGCTATAGTACGAGGTGGATATCAATGATGCATTCGAACATTGCGAGCCTTGACTTGTTAATACTACCCTCTACGATTACGTACTGTTTCTGTTGTTTGAACATTTCATCAAGATGATAGCTGCTAGATTGCTGATCGCCAATGTTTTCAAACGCTACATCAACCAATACGGCTTTGAAGTTTATTACGGCGAGTGCGAGAAAGAAGTGGAAAAGATGAAGAATTATAAGCTTGGCAATGGAGTTGTGCTTTACAATTTGTTGTACATGAATCTAATGCATCGCTTGACTTTCATTAAAAATGAATCTAAATTTGCAAAGTACTGCGGTATTATCAGAGCTAGTTTTTTGGAAGCTAGTAGGAAGAAACCGCTTATGCAATCATGAATATGGCTTGGAATCGATTAACTGGAATTACTTGATCTGATAAATGTCTAGTATATTTGCTTGCTTTCCTTGATAATGGATTACTGAAAGTGATTATTAAAATTGCTGTCACAATACTTATACTGTCTGTAAAGTTTGCATTGTTCAAAACATTTTTGGCAAGTTGATAAAAAACAACAAATTTGATGACATTAGTCATTGTGCAATCCTTTTTTCCAGAAATTAATGTAGTTGACATGAATAAAAAAATTACTTATTTATTAGATGGAAATACTAACACACACACACACACACACACACACACACACACACACACACACACACACACACACACATATATATCGGCCTAGACAGTGTAAATAGCTGTGGCAATTGTGAAATGGAAGAAATTCTTTAATCTGAATATCTTAATTTATTAAACCCAATCAACCTAACTTTCCTCCTCACAAAGTGCGGTTACGTAAATTTTATATAGTCATGTTAATCAGAAATATTAGACTCAATGGAGTTTATGTAATGGAACGCAATAACAAATAATAGATTTTTCTAATCATTTATTAAAATTTAGTTTTTTTTAACCGAATGACACTGTGTTGTAAAAATCAATACCCATTCACTTTTAATAGGCGGCAATTGTCAATTTGGTTGACAAAATTGTAATCGATTTTCAAAAAGACGTTTTTAAATATGGTCAATTTTAGATAGCAATATCTCGAATAAGATCGTGGGGTTCATTGAAAAAATATCTTGGGAATCAAAGACAAACTTCAGATATAAAAATTAAGTTTATACAGAATTATATAATTAATATATTTTAATACATTAACCATTCGTAAGAAACGTATTTTTTATGCATCTCTAATTTAAATTTTACTTAAATTTAGGTGCGCAAAGCGCGCTGTGGTGTCCTAGCTTTTATGATTATAGGAAATATAATACTATGGAAGTATAATTACAGCCAAAAAATGTATACAACATATTTATTATGTATACTATTCTTACAAAGGCGGTAAGAAAAATATTGATTACATCATTACCAGTCACAATTTTGCTTGCGAATTACAAGCAGTCACAGAAAATCAATGACTGCTTTCAAATACGTCATCTGCCTAAATATCAATGAACTAATAAATTACGCGTAAAACGTTTTCACATCATCATAAATTATAATAGAAATAATAATCTGATAAAATGATTATAATTTTTTACTCTTAATACTTCAGAAAACAAAAGAAAATATATAAAGATATTGAATCATTATAAAATAATTAAAAAACCGTGTTTTGCAATATTTATAGTGTGATTTAAGAGTCTAAATAATTTCATATTAAAAATGTATTTATATATTCAAAAAATAGAGAAAAAATCCTTCGGAATAAAGAGAAAAATTTTTTTCTTAAATGCTTAGAAGCTACAATAATTAATATACAACTTAGGACGCTGAATAGCTGCAAGCCGATGAGGAGAGGCGCTTACTCGTTTCCATGGCTACAGCTCACCCGCGCGGGTGTGCGACGCGTGTCTGTTGCGTTCATTAATATTTATACTATTATATTCTTCTTGAATCTCTAAAAATAATTCAGCTGATAGCTCAATCATTTTAGAATAATAATGATTTTGATTTTTTGTGAAATCGCATAAAAACATTAATTATGATATGTAAAAGTAAAAAAACTTTTTCTCGTCTAATTATTGTAGAAGGACCATTTTGTTGCTAATCAAAAATTTTTTTATCATCAATCCAAGACCGTCAATTTAAATTCCATAGCTATGGTTTCATTGTAAAATTTTATTCTGCAACTAAGCAATGTCACATTTTTGCAATTTTCTCGGTAAAAAATTATGAAAAAAATTTAAAAACTTCTTAAATGATAGATCTTTCAATTCTACATACGCTACAATTAGCTTTATTTATGCAAAATATTGAGGTACACCGTCAATGTTGAAACTTTCTGATGCTCTAGATCGTAAACAAATTAACTGCAATAGCTCGCACTAAGTTTTTATTAAACACCTTAAACATATTTCAACGATGTACCGAATGCATAAATTACAATATAATTGTTAATGGACTTTTGAAAATAACATAACTTGAATTTTCATAACATCTCGCAAATATAATAAGACATTGTTATTAAAAAAATCGTGATATCGAATAGTATTAATCCCACCTCACTTCAATAGAATAATTAGAAAAACGATTATTTAAAAAAAACATATAAGAGTACCTTTTTTTGGCATTAAACTGTTTATAAAATAATGTTCCCAACATTTTCATTTACTAAAACTACTTTTCCGGTTATCTAGATAATATTCCGCGGCCAGAGAATAAAAATTACGCTTTTCACGAAAAATATATTTAATTTTTTTTTCGTACGAGAATAACTGTACTAACTGTAATGTATCCCTGGTACGCCTAAATGGCTTTCTATAAAGATACGACAATATAATTTGTACTTATATATACAATAATGTTTTGGACATTATTTCTCGATAATGTTATTCCTTAATTTATTTATTTATTCCTTAATAATTAGACAATATGTAAAAATAGAGCAAATGTTACAACAACAATTACCACTAACAATGTTGGAATAAACGCGATTTTCTTCGGATCTCATGAGAAAATGTGTGTAATAGTAGTTTATTTACACTTCTCGTCCTCTATTATATATAATTTTGACATTACTTAAAAAAAATACATTGAATTTCCGCTAAATTTACAATGTTTACAACATTTATAATAATTGACTTCTTTGACCGGAAGATGTTTATCAGATATATTTACTTGCTACGAAAAAAGCTACATATAAAGCTGAAACTCGGTGTTTCCTTCTACCGACTTTCAAATTACCTAATACTCATAATAGTGACCTCCCTATTTAAGAGTAATCATGTACAAGATACTAATA